TATGAGTATTATTATTATCAATATTACTAGATAATGCCAAGTTCTTTTCTGATAATTCTGTACCTAGTTACTGTTACAATGCAAACTAAAAATGTTTCTGTGCTTTACTTCTTCTGTCTTTGGTCTAGAAAAATGGATCAGCACTCGCTCCTCTTGCAGAGAGCATGGATCTTGTTCTCAGCACTTATATGGCAGCTTATAACCATTTCAGTTCCAGGGGATGAAAACCTCTGTGGGCGTCAAGCATGCTTTTGGTGCACGTACATACATGAAATAAAATGATTCATATAATTATTTTATTTTTTACTGTATTATCAGTTGAAGTAGTTCATCCTGGAGTGAGGCTCTTATAATTTTTAATTTTTATTTCTCCACCTGTTATAAATATATAAACATTCATATGAGAAATTAATTTGTAATCGATAATAAATATTTCATACAATATATTTTTCTTTCTCTCCTTTGACTCCTCTCAGTTCCTCCCCAACTTCCCCTCCTGTCCAGATGAGCCCACTTTATTTCTCTCAATAAAAAACAAACAAGCATCAAAGGGATAATAACAAAATAAGATAAAACAAAAACATAAAAATAAGAATAGGATAAACAAAATAGAAGAAACCAAGAAAAGACACAAAAAAAAAACAGATATAGACACAGAGACCCACTTGTTTGCATACTCAGAAATATCATAAAATCACAAAACTGGAAGTAATAATATTCAAAAGACCTGCAAAAAATAAAAATAAAACACAAGAATGAGAGAGAAAGGAAAGAAGGAAGGAAAGGGAGGGAGGGAGGGAGGGAGGAGGGAGGGAGGGAAGGAAAGAAGGAAGGAAAAGAAAAAAAAGATCGAGCTCTGACTTGATATTATGAGACAAGGAGCCTCCAAAGATGCAGATGAATTCATTTTCTATTGGCCATCTACTGGTGGATATGTGATATACTCTTAAAAGTACTGTTTCCCTCATGGAGACTCCCTTGACAAAAATTAGATTTTCATTTGCAAGCAGTTATCAGTAGGAAGTAACTCCCATGTTAGTGATGGGGACATTGTATCACTTCTCCTTTCAGCTCTAGGACTCCACCTGGTGCAGACCTGTGCAGGCCCTTTGCATGCTCAGTCTATGAGCTTATGTGTGTGTTGATTCTGTTGTGTTTAGAAGGCCTTCATTTATTGGTGTCCTTCATCACCTCTGGCTATTACACTTCCTTTTTCCTCTTCTGTAGGGTTCCCAGAGCCCTAAAGTGGGGGATTTGATGGAGACATCTCATTTAGGGCTGAGTAATCTGATATCTCTCACTCTGGCTTTTGTCAGATGTAAGTTTCTCTATTTCTACCCATCTGCTGCAGGAGGAAGCTTTCTGATGATGACTTATCAAGGAATTGATCTATGAGCATAACGGAATGTAATTTTATTGCTAAGTTCCTTTAGTAGAACAGTAATATTTGGTTTTTCCCTTAGTCCCTAGGCTATGTAGACTCAGGTTCTTGGTCATTCAAGGAGTGTCAGATATGAGTACCACCTCATGAGTGTGCCTTAAATCAAATCAGATATTGCTTGGTTACTCCCATAGGCTTTATGCCAACATTGCATTGCCTTTTTTTTTTTTTTTTTTTTTTTTTTTGCTGGCTGGACTCTATTGTAGAACAAAGGTTTCTAATTGGATTGGTGTTTATGTTACTCCTTTGGTAGTATGCAGAGTAACTTCCAGTACCATTAACAATAGCCTGTAGGTGTGAAGGCTCTGTATATGCACCAGCTCTACTTTTGTAATCATATAAGTGCAGCATCAGGTAATAATCAGGTATTCACAAAGAAATAAGGAAAACAAAAATCAAGAAAAAAACAAATACAATTTACTAGACATGGTGATGGAGCTTGAAACATTATGAGGATTTGATGTCAAAGAAAAATTGCTAGGGGGCTAGATAAAAGGCTCTGTGTTTAAGAGCCCGTGTTACTATTGCAGAGGACCCAGGTTCTATAGCCAGCACTAAAAGGGTAGCTAACAACTCTACGTAACTACAGTCCCAGAAGATCTATTATTCTCTTCTGGCCTATACTTATAAAAGATGTAAGTAGTGCAAATACATACCTCATGCAGTGTTCCTATACTTACAAAATAAATATACAAATCTTTTAAAAGGATAATTGCTACATTTTAAAGGTATAGTATACAAAGAAAATGCCTCCTCTTTTTATAAGCTGAGGAACAATGTATCAGAGTTCAAAAAAATACACAATGCAAGTAAAGTATAATATGGCAACTGTGTAGAATGGAGATGAGAAGGAGGGAAAAAAACATTCCTTTTCAGATAAGCTTGCATTGAGGTCAGCCACATGACAGCAGGCAGCTGCATGGTGTGATGGGGAGATTTAGAGAAAGAGTCAGGAAGCCTAAAAGTACCAGGGAGCACAAAGCATCTTTAGGCTCAGGAAAACATCCAAATGAAAAGTAAAAAGACTATGTCTTTGAATCCAGAAAGGCTGGTAGAGCCACCGAACCTCATGGTGGCTCATAGGGACTACACTGGGCACTAGGTATTCTGAGAAGGAAAATCACCTTATCTCCAGGTGAACCTGCTCCTCTAGAAATGTTCCCTTAACCATGTGCTTGACCTGCCCATCTAGATAAACTATTCAGAGAGGGAAAAAAGCATGCCTCCACCTAGAGTTAGAGTCTATTCTTTCCTATGAGAGTCCTCTATCTAAAGAGGTGACCTTAAAATTATTTAGAACATGGAATAAAACTAGAGATTAGATACAACTCATTTATACCCTGAAAATCTAGTGATCCAGTTCCAATGATCAGCAAAACAGGTCGATGTCTGAACTGAATTTCAGACCCTACTCTCACTTACAGCCCTTAGACAAGGAGGTGACAAGAAACTAGAGTTCCCTTCTGGCAATTGCAGGGCTCAGAACCAGGCACATTTCTGGAACTGCAGATTTTAGATTCCTTCCCCCGAGCTGCCTGTCTTATGTCTATCTCATGTCCTAAACATTCCCCACTTCTCAAGAGGTAACCCCAACTGCCATTCAGGGACTTAGGGCAATGACTGAAGATGACATCTTACTGATGAGTGGAGTAATTGATGTGGTACCTGGGTTACCCATTCAGTAGTCCTTAGTAGAAGACCCAAAATTACACTGGCAGTTCCATTTGTATAACAGCCAGGTGTAAGAGGTAAAGGATATTCATAGCCTATGTGTAGACACAGAGGTGAGATAGATGTCATGGTAATAGTTATTAGAATAATAAGCTGTAGGCATGGAAGACAGAACAGAAGGTTGTTTTAATGTTCAAATCAAAGTATTAGAATGTCCTTGAGGTCACAAGAACATCCATTCTGTGTTTTTTTCTTTGATCTTTAAGTGTAGACTAGAGAGCAATGAACCCAAGATATGCTTTCAAAAACATTGAAAATTGTTGGAGAAGTTACAATCTCAGTTTGAAGGATCCATTGAGCAGCTTCTCCAATAAAACCCAGGATGTGTCCCAACGTGACACTATCTAGCAGCACAGGGACAGATTATTTTCTCCTCTCATTACAGAAATAAAAAATAGAAAAGGAATGTTTTGGGAATCATGGAGTACCCCAATAGAACCAACATACATCACTAAGGAAATTCTCCCTTGTGGTTTTTAGACTCATTAGTAAAATGATTTAAGGACTGCTGTAGTGGTACTATTGCTGCAATGAAACACCATGAACAAAGCAACTTGGGAAGCAAAGGGTTTGTTCATCTTAATAAGTCCACATCATAGTTCATCATCAAAGGAAGTCAAGACAGGAACTCAAACAGGGTAGAATCCTGTAGGCAGAAGCTGATGCAGAGGTTATGAAGGGTGCTACTTACTGGCTTGCTTTCACAGCTTATTCAACCTGCATTTTTACATAACCCAGGACTACCGCCCAGGGATAGCACCACTCACAATGGGATGGGTCCTCCCCCATTGGTCACTAATTAAGAGAATGCCCTACAGAATTGCCTATATCTGGATCATATGGAGGTATTTTCTCAATCAAGGCTCCCTCCTCTTTGATGATACTAGTTTGTGTCAAGTTGACATAAAACTAGCCAGAACAAAAGCAGACTCAAATTCAAACTCAAAGACAAATAACTATAATTCAGAACATTATACAGGTGTAGGCAAGGTATAAATCTGGGAACTGTCCAGAGGAGGAGAGTGAAGAAGAGAAGGGAACAAAATAAAATATGCAGTTTGAGGTGAGACTAGCACAGTCAAAGGGCAGCAGGCAGGGACAGTGAAGAGGGGAACTTCAGAGAGTCAGGAAGTCCACAGTACGAGGGGGTGAAAGCATACGTAGGCTGGGGTCAGCATTCCAAAGAAAGTGCCAGAAGAGAAGGACAAAGAATTGTTCCACCCTTCTGAACCACTACTCAAGAAGACACTTGCTCAAACAAGTTCATTGTTGCTCTATTCATAATATCCATTAATTGGAAATAATCTAGATGTCTGTCAATGGGTGAGTGGAAAAAGAAAATGTGGAAAAAAAACTTACAGAATGGGATATTACTCGGCTGTTAAAAAAATGGAATGATTAAATTTTCTGGTAAATGGATGGAACTAGAAAATAATCAATGTAAGGTGACCCGGACACAGAAAGACTAACATTTTATGAATGAGTATATTTGCTTATGTAGATATTAGCTTTTAATTCTTCATTAAGAAGACTACAATCCATAGAACCACAGAGGTTAGCTACAGAGTATTGGACCAGGGAGGGGAGGTGAATTTCCCTAGGAAAGAGTCTTAGAGTAGACAGATATAGATGGATAAGAGGGAAGGGGGAAACAGTCCAGGTTCTTTTTTGAGCCTTGGATTCAAGAGCAATGTGAGAGATTAATGTACTCTGACACTCACTTCAATATGGATTAAGCTTATTATTTACTTTTGTTGACAGTAAATAAAACACAGATTTTTATATGACAATTCAAATAAGATTTTTAATGAAAGCCCATATCAAATAATGAATTAAGGAAACAAAAAAAGACAAAAATATGAGGTCAACTTGACCATTTGTTTTCCCACAGGCCACATTTGGCATCATTTTGAGTTCTTTGAAAACTTATGTAAACACATGATGAATGTTATCTTTGCTGGAGTTTCAAGGTGGTATAAGACAGCAATTTACTTTTAAATTTTGGAATGGGGTGTCTTGCCTATGGCTAAATTCGAAGAAAGGAAAATTGTGCCACTGAATAGAAAGAAAACAGCAGCTATAATTACCAGAGCCATGGCACTGCCAATCTTCTGAGTGTCAGGGTGGGAAGGCATATTGAAAGATGGTGGGAAGGCAACCCCCCACTTGCGAATGGTGGATACGTAATTTAATAAAACAGCAAGGTAAAGTAAGCTGCTAGCGATCATGTTCAGAATCCCTGAAAGGCTGAATGGATTGCAGATGGCATTCCGCCGTACTCTTCCCATACACATGGTCCAAAGAGCAATAATGGTGGTGATTTTCCCAAAGAGCCCAAGCAAGCTAGACACCAGCAACAGGTGCTGGTTTATTCGAATATACAGTGGAACAAAGGAGTCACGGTAGTTGTATTGATGACATATTCTGATGTTGCTGGAGTTGCTGCCATTGTGGAAAACACAGGCTCTCCATATGCCCACAAAAGCTACTGTAGGCTTGAAAGTCATAGGATCTTCATAGTGCCATACTTGCCACTGAGGGAGCCTCATGGAGATGCAGCAAAGTAGCCAGGCGACCATGGTCAAAGCAAAACCTCCCATTTGGTGATTGTAGTTTTTCAACATGATGATGACAGCGAATACTCGAGAACTGCAAAGATATACAAGACAAGACGAAGACAGTTATTCAAGATAAGGACAGTGTACTCGGGTTTACAATACTTGGAGAAAAGCATTATGTTTGACAGAGTGGGCCTTGGCCTGAAGATCTGCTGACTTGGATGTGGTGTGAGAAAAAGAGAAATTGATCACGAGCCACGAACAAGACAAAGAACAGCTAATTCAGAAGCTTACTTGTGAAAAAGATGAAGCTGTTCAAACTGCGCTAGATGAATTTAAATTGGAGGGAGAACTTGTTGAGAAAGAGTTATTAGAAAAAATTAAATATCTTGAGAATCAAATAGCCAAAAGTCCTGCCTTTGAATGATCCAGAGAAGATTCTTCAAGCTTAGTTTCTGAACTTCAAGAGAAGCTTCAGGAAGAAAAAGCTAAGGTTTTAGAACAGCTTGAAGAATAAGAAAAAAGAAAGAATGAAGAAAGGTAAAATGTTTGAACAACTTTGATTGCTGAACAACAGACCAATGTTAACACTGTTTTAACAAGAGAGAAAATGAGGAAAGAAAACATTATAAATGATCTTAGTGATATGTTAAAAAGTACAATGCAACAACAAGAGCATGATAAAGACTTGATAGAGTCACTTTATGAAGATCGAGCTCGTTTGCTTGAAGAAAAAAAAAACTTGAAGAAGTGAGTAAACTGTGTACTAGCAGTTTTATTCCCTCGGCACCTCTGGTTGCAGCCCCAGAGCTTTATGGAGCTTGTGCACCTGAGCTCCTAGGTGAGACAGAGAGATCAGCCGTGGGGACAGCAGATGAAGGAAAAGTGGGCTTGGCAATGGAGACAAGCATGATGTCTGTCCAAGAAAGCAAGCTATCTGAAGAAAAACAGAGGATCATGCTTCTAGAATGGACATTGCAGTTGAAAGAAGAAGAAAACAAGTGGTTAAATCAAAGACTGATGTCTCAGAGCATGTCCTCAATGTCTTCACGGCATTCTGAAAATATAGCCATTCGAGATTTTCAGGTGGGAGATTTGGTTCTCATAATCCTAGATGAGTGGCATGACAATTATTTACTGTTAGTCCTACTTTGTATTTCCTGTATTCAGAGTCTCTTCCTGCTCTGGACCTCAAACCAGGTGAGGGAGCTCCAGGCGCATCTAGAAGACCCTGGGTCCTTGGAAAAGTAATGGAAAAGGAATATTGTCAAGCTAAAAAGGCACAAAACAGATTTAAATTTCCTTTGGGGACAAAGTTTTACAGAGTGAAAGCTGTGTCCTGGAATAAGAAAGTATAGTCACAGAAGAAATCTAAATCTGATACCATTTTCTGATTTGTCCTCTAGTGCTAATAAATCACTCCAAAACAATCAGCCATTCTTTTTTACAAAAGTCAACATGACAGTATGCTTCATTGGTGGACTGCACTTACCTTTTAAGTGGATACATCTTAGGAACAATAAATTCATCGAAATTCTTGATTGAATCAAAATGGTTTTGTTTTTTTTTTTCCACCCAAATAACTAGAAATGTAGACCAAACTAGTTAATGTTCTCCAAGGGCAAAGCCTGCACTGTGGCTTGTGACTAGCCTCATCAATTGCCTGTTAATAAATATTAGCTGAATAGATACCAGTGTTTAATGAACTCTGAATTCATGGTTGAACTTCCAAATAGATATTCATTGTACATTAATGTTTAGAGGTCATTTAAATAATAAAATAGTGTACTGTAAAGGACCTGTACAATTTTAAGACAATAAAAAATTAAAAGTGTAAATTTGTGTGCCTTTTGAAGGTTGCATTTTTAATCTATTTGCGTGATTGCTGGGAAGGGTAAAAAAAGGTTCTATATCAAAGAGAAACATATTTATTACAAAAATGTTGTTTGCATCCCATGTAACAGTGAAGTGGTGTTCTGTGGAAGAGAACCATGTAAACTTAGACTTTAGAAGTTGGCACTGAGCAAATGTGCTGAAGTAGCTACTTAATTGGAAAGAGTGTTTTCAGGGTTGTTGCTAGAGAGCAGTAATAAAATGATTCTTTTTCAAAAATATTTAATATCTTCATAAAAATAAGTTGGATATTTTTATAAATATGTACTCTAATACAACAAAAATGGAATAAACATCATAGTGTATAGAATACTGAATTTGACAACATATTAATGAATAAATGAACAAATGATTTCAAAAAAAAGAATGTGGCTTCTTTTTGCCCTTCTAAAAATTTGCCAGAGGCTAAACTGAAGACTTTTGGATTAATGTCTTTGAAAGAGGAGATTTATGACAGCCTAATATTGATTTAAAAATATGGTTATTGGTGATCATGGTTGTGCAGATCTACAATGAAAAAGACAGGAAAAATAGAAATACAGACTGTGCAGTTAGATGGGAAAAAAGAATCAGAAAATACATGGTTGGATCCAAGTCATATTCTCAAGCATATGAGAAGTTTAAAGAAAAACCTGATCAAAAATTGAATAAAAGGAATGTTTACCTCAGGGAAAGACTCCATCCAGCTGAGATCCCAATTTTAGAAAGGAATTAAAGGGAAGCTTAACAAGAAAAGAAAGCCATAAGCAATTGAAATCTTATGAAAATGTAATTCAAGGACTGGACCTAGCTCAACCCCCAACAACCAGCAAAACTTGGAAATACCAGACACATCGTTTTGGATTTAGAGTCAAGAGAGATAAAGGAAAGGGGTTGTGGAATCTCCTACGTGGTGAAGAAAAGCCAGCAAGGCATGTTCTGTGGCAGAAGTATCCCTGCATGGAGCTCCAGAGGGGCCACTTTGTGAAGCTGTAAAAATGAAACCTGGCATGCATTGGAGACCCCAACATGTTGGAGATGAAAAGCCATGGGATAACTGCCAAGAACTGCAGACAAGGTAGAAAGCCAGCCCAAGACAGAGACCTGAGTTGCAGACAATAAAGCTGGAAAGGAGGAGTCATCTATATCCTCTGCCATAGTGCATAGAGAGACATGACTTGGAATTATCCTGATGGTTTTTTGTCTTGGATTGGTCCAGTATTTCCCCACTGTGCCCTTTTACTTCTAATTTGGAATGGTAATGCATATTCTATGCCACTGTATATTGGAATTATGTGATTTGATTTTTGATTTTTATATGTGGTTTCAGTTAAGAAATTGTCTTGAGTCTCAGGAGAGACTTTGGACTTTGAGACAGTATTGAGCCTGGGGAAGGACTACAGGAACTTTGGAAGCTGAATGGAATGCATTTTGCATTTTGAGAATGCTACAAAGCCTATGGAGGCCAGGGAATTAGTGTAGTGATGTGAAACAGAAGTACCCTCTTAGGTTCATATGTATGAATGCTTTGTCACTAGATAGTGGAATTGTTTGAGAAGGATTAGAAGGTGTGACCTTGTTGAAGGCAGTGTGTCACTGTGGTGGACTTTGAAGTTTTAAAAGCCCATACAAGGCCCAGGCTCCCTCTCTCTCCCTTTCCCTCTCTCTTTTTCTCTCTTTTGCTCATTCATTCTCTCTCTCTCTCCCTTTCCCTCTCTCTCTGCCTGCAATTTGTGGATCAGGTGTGAGTTCTCTGCTATGGATTCATTGCTTGCTACCATGATATTACAGACTAACCCTCTAAAACTGTAGGCAAGTCTCCAATTAAATGTTTACATTCATAAGAGTTGCCTTTACCAATATATCTCCACAGTAATAGAACAGTAAATAAGACAGAAGTTATCTCAAATACCATGGGATTCTGCTAAGGAAGTCTAGGGGGTTCAACCCCACAGAGTCAAAAAAACATAATGATGGTTGCTAGGGCCCAGAGCATGGAGAAATAAGAGGTGACACTTGATAATTCTAGAATTTAGCTAGAGAAGATAGAAAGTTGTGATGGTTCCCCAACACAGCAGTGTATGATCTTTCTGTTGTGGAACTATATACAGAAAATGGTCAGTGGTGAATTTTGATAGGAATGAAATTTTAACCTCATTATTTAGAGTATACAATAAAGATAGATGGAAGCTCTACTAACCAGAGATGCTGTCGTCAAGTGAACTGATGGTAGGTGATGTAACAGGACAGCCAGCTATATAGACCAGTGGAGCTGGCAAGGAATCTGCTCCTCTCATTTGTCTTTTGAGGCTCCTTGCTGACTTCACAGTGAGCTCTGGGCTCTTGGCCTTTTATTGGCTACTTCTAGTTCTAAGAATTCTATTGTGTCATCAAATTCCAAGCCTCACTTGATCTCACCTACCTGTTTGCTGTCACTAATGTTTGAGTCTTGACACTGTTGGTGGGGTGGGGGGAGACTGTGGCATTGTCTGTGCTCTCTTTTGTGATGTACTTTCTTGTCAACATTTGCAGGATTTGGTGTTTACCAATGGGATTCCCTCTTCGTGGTCTTTATATACCTGACTGATTCAGACCTATCGTCAGTTGCTTTCCCTTTCTCCCTCTTTGAAGAATAGTTTCTATCCCCTGTCATTGGAAGAGGTGATACTTTAGAAAATTCATTGCCACTTAGAGATGCATTTTATGTTGGAAATATGTGATTTGCTTTCTGAATGTACATTGGGTTACAGTTAGGAGATTCCCTTGAAAATCAGGAAAGGCTATGATCTTTGAGACCCTGTTGAGACTGTAAAGGTCTCCAGGGACTTTTGAAATTGGATGCAATGTATTTTGCCTCATTATATTGTTGCAAAGCTTATGGAGGTCAGGGAGTGGAATGCAGTGGTGTGAATGAGAATGGCCACCATAGGCTCATATGTATTAATGCTTTGTCCCTAGTTATTGGAATAACAGACTTGGTATCAACAGTCAAAGAAAGCACCCAGCTAATACATCAGAGATGTGCAGAAAGGTCCAGGTGAATTCTATAGCCAATGAGATTATAGCTGCAATGAAAGGGAAAAACTCCTCAAATACCTTTACAAATTACAATGAATAAACAATTATAGTTTGTGGTACAAAGTATTATAGAGCAACTTTGCACTGCATTGAAATATACTGGGGCCCCGGGTTCCAGCTGCCTTGCTCTCCTCTCGTTGCCTCAGCCTCTGCTCTTGCTTGCCATGCTCTCTGTCCATGTCTTGCTCGCCACCATCACGAACCAGCATCAGCTGAAGGTGTTGCCATTGAAGTAACTCAGCCTGGCT